GGCTGGAGAGCACCACGCCACCCTACCGCCTCTGCATCCACGAGCGGGACTTCACGCCGGGCCGCTGGATCATCGACAACATCATCGAGAGCATCGAGGCCAGCGCCAAGGTCATCTTTGTCCTCTCCCGCAGCTTCGTCGACAGCGAGTGGTGCAACTACGAGCTGTACTTCGCCCACCAGCGGGCCGTGGGGCTGGGCTCCGAGGACGTCATCCTGGTGGTGAAGGAGCCCATCGATGCCCGCGGTTTGCCCAGGAAGTTTTCCCGGCTCCGGAAGATGCTGGGCTCCAAGACGTACCTGGAGTGGCCTCCCGAGCCCAGCCGCCAGCCCTTCTTCTGGCTGCAGCTCCGCAACCTGCTGGGCAGTCCCAGGGATGGCGAGGCAGAGACGGCCGTGAATGCCACCACCATGGACACCACCACCGTAGACACCACCACTGTAGACACCACCACAACGGAGAGCATCACCATGGACACCACCACCATAGACACCACTACCATGGAAAACATCACCATGGACCCCACCACGGACACAACCACCATGGAGAGTCCTGCCACGTAGCTCTGGCCCCGAGTTTTCCCCCCGACCAGAGGCACCTCCGTCCCCTCCAGGATGGGGTGGGAGGCTCGGTTCCAGCCTGCTGCCTTGCTTTCCCTAGGCAGCGGGAACCCGCTGCTCAGGCTGCTCCATGTGCCAAATTGGGGCGTTATTGCAATTCTTGCCCATTTTGCCTGACATGAGCCCCCAAAGGACCTCGGGCGCGGGGCAGCCTCCACCGTACAGCACGTTTCTGCCTTTTCTATTTAAAAAAAGCGACGATTTTCTACCCTGCCTCTGTGCCTTTGGCTCGGTGGCGAGCCAGGGACCCAGGCGCTCGGGCAGGATGCGGGACCGCGCTGAGGTCCCTCCAGCATCTCCAGGGGACGGAAGTGTCCGGGAGGTGGCAGTGTCACCTAGCAGATGTGTCACATCTCCTGGCCAAGGGTTTTCACCTCCTGGCCAGTCCGGGGAGCTGGGCAATGCGAAGGCCACCAGCTCTGGGCTGGAGCCGCAGGGTCACCCCAAATTGCCTGCCCGTCCCCAGGGTGATGCTTTAATCCCGGAGGACCCAAGGGCCGGGCTCTGCCCCAAG